GCTCAAATGAAAGTTCGCTTCAGGGGGTTGTAAATTAGCCAGATTTCTTTCGCGAGCGTATATATATGTACACTTTCTGTTTTGTATCGCGCATTTAATATTCAGATGTTAATATGCTAAAAAAAGAAAACAGTATTTTATATAAAATCAAAATTGATTTAGTGCTTTTTTATTCCACATTTATAAAATGTATACAATATCTTTTTGTTTTGAACATCTACCTATATAGCCTTTAGTAATCTCTTGCAAAATGATTTTCATTATCTAAAAAATAAAAATTAAAAAGTTAATATATATATATATATATCCTTTTTATGGCATACATTATAAAATATTAATAAATTAACAAACATTAAGAGAATAAATAATAATACACAAACATTAAAATTTAAGAGAGATACAATAAATTTTTTCTAATTTTTTAATTGTTACTCATTACGTGCTTGTTATCTATAAATACTACATTTATTTAACGGATAAATGTATTGTAATCAAGGTTGAATCTATACATTTTTAAATTAATCAATTATAGAGATTCTCGTTAAAGTTAATCATAAATATCGTTTGTTTTTTCTCTCAATAACCCGGTTCCAGATAATTTTCTCTTTGTCATCTTTGGTTCGTTTTTAGCTCGGGCTTAATGAAAAGGGCAATTCAATACCTGTTTGACTTGATGCGATGATATCATGTTGTCGGTACCCAGTAACCCAGCTTCCAATGTGTCTCATCTGCCGAAGCTGTTCCGGACTCCCATCGGCCCACTAACGTAAGCGGCCGAGATATTACACGTACAACGGGTTTCGTTTTGCACCTTTTTTTTCCACCGGTTCGCGAGGCACGTGAGTCGCCGACAGGCTTCAAGCTCACATTATGGGGATATTCAGAGATTGGGACACCGATTTCTCGATTTTGAATCCTGTTATTAAAACATTAAACGTATACTGACATTAAACGTATACTGACATGTCGCGCGTATAAATGAATAACGTAGCGGATAACTGTTCTATCAAAAGTATTAAAATATATTATCTATAAACGAAGCTTTTTGCTTCCTCATAGAGGAAGCTTTGTTTTTTCATCTCAATTAAATAATTGATTTGTGTTAAATTTCAGCAAAAAGGTGATATAATAATTGCTCTTTTATAATTTATATTATATCTGAAATTTGTTTATTGTCATTAAAAAGTTTCCTGGCTGTTTTTTATTCCAAAAGACGCATGAGTGATTTTTTAAAATTACAGCAAGAGTTAAAAGCAATCAATATTTAAAGCGTACATTTTTGCATACTCATGACATCGGATATGAGACACACATATTGTTAACTTGGCATATCAGTTATGCAATCAAGCTGCAATCAAAGATGCAACCAAATGCGAAATGTAAGTAATTTAATCGGCTAAAATTCAGTTTTATATATAATGTCAGCGAATATCATTGACTTTGTCTGAATAAATCTGCCTGCTAAAATCACGCAGCAACTTTATTTAAAAAATTCGCATTCAAATCAAGAGGAACACTGAAGAATATAATGGAAAATAACCGCATAATTATTCTATTTTGCACGAAAAAAATGTGTAATGATCGGTAAAAATCACTTAATGGAAACCAAATGCATAAATGCATAATATCATAAGGCAGAAAGCAAGGTCAACATTGTATATCGAATATAAAACTCTATTTCCCTTTCCGTTTTTCCGTATACATGCCGAGTTGAAATACACAATATATTTTTCTACCATTTTCAGATACATTAATAGATTCTAAAGAATTTCGATTAATTTATAAAGGAATTGAGTTCCTACTTTGTATTTTAAATAAGCAATAAACGAACAGTTTTTTATTCAGACATTTAAAATAGAAGCTTTCGACAAAACTATAGATTAAACAATTTCAAGAAAAAGTGATTTGATCGCTTGAAATATCAAAATGAATATTACATTAGAAACTGAGATCAAAAATAGGAGAAAAATTTGGGAATAGACATGTACACGAAAATCTTAATAGATAATAATTTTATTTTCCACAAATCTTTTTGGAAGCTCAATTGGCTGGCATAAATCGATTATCGGAGACGTAGAACGGATGTGTCGGTCTTTTTTTTTAATTTTTTGCGAGATGGTTTTTACTAGAAATGTCGGTGTGAAATCTGTGAATTGGTATAGACACATCGAGCCCCGGTCTATTTAAGTACACAATTATACAAATTGTGATTAGGTGAAAGGTAAAAAAGAGCCGATAAACGCGCCTCGGTTCGCGTGGACCAAGTTATTTGGATTTTGGAACCGTGCTACACACAGTCGGCGAGCGGTCCATTGACCTGTATCGTTGACTTGGGTTTTGTCTTTTCCACATCGCTTTCTCTACAATCGCCGTTTTTCTTCTCGCACAATTGCTAAAATTATTTAAAAAAAAATTGGAAAAAAACTATTTTTTTGCTCTAAAAGAGTTCGACTCTTTGTCAAGTTTTGCATACATTTTATAGCATATATTTTATATATAGAGTAGTCTATATAAAATAAGAGAACTCTCTGAAATAAATAGAGATTAAAACGAACATATTTCATAGAAGAAAAAAACGTTATGGTAGATTATCTCTCTTCACATTAATTATATTATAAATATATATGCGTGTTCTACATTTTTATGTATTCTTAGATTGCGTGATATAGAAATTTGATTTTTTTAATATAAATATATTATATCTATTTTGTATTCATATTACATTATTTCCTAAATTTAATGCATCGTCATTACGTGCGTAATCATACGTTTGATCTTCTATAGTATTGTTTCTTTATTTCACTTATTTATGCCGTGACATTGAGATCAATTAAACGTATAAAATTAACTCTTTACATCATAGATCCCGCAAATTTTATACCTGTTTATGCAGTTCTTTTGTTTTTATATATGTCGTGATTCGGCGCATTCAGCGGACTCAATAATTGAGTATCGTCTGGTCAACACTCAACATTGATTTGTTGATTTTAAAAATAAGAACCGATCACGTTCGATTGATATCCAACTGTCGAGTCCGTTAAATGCGCCCATTGTTTTACTTAACATATTTGATATCTTCATGTTTCTAATATATATATGTATGTTAGAACATATTTTTTAAAACATGCGTACATGCATCGATTTTACGTATCGTTTGAGAAACCTGCTGAATTAATATTCTACAGTTAACGAAAGGGAATCTTTGTACTCCTCGCGGTTGTTCGTCCTTGCCCGGACGATGCTCCAGGGCCCACTTTTCTGACACGAGGATCCTGAACCGCAAAAACGCTATGAGAAGACTTACGTAGCGGAGATGCTGCGCGACTCTCGCTTGGAAAACGAGGCTACATCGGCGACGCAGCGTGTAGCAAGTGGTATCTATACATATATGGTGGGATGGTCCGGAACGAGATGGATTATCCTGACACATTTTCATTCGCGAGAAATTCTTCCGACGTTATACACACACCCGTTCCCCATATCTATCATATAAATCGTCAAATTTCGCGTATCAGCGATCGGTTGTGTGCGACATAATAGCAAAATAAAAATTTCTGATTACGAAATTATATTTTAAGAAGATTGTTACGAGGACGACTTGATTGTGTTAAATCAACATGCTTATTTTGACAAACAACAAACATTGGTGAGATGAATCGATTTTATTTAAAATCATGAATTTTTGTTACTCTAATTTTTTTGTTACTCTAATTAAATTATTAACTACGTATTAAATCGCAATGTTTGTTAAAGCGCAATTAAAACGTTTTAACTTTGCAACGCGATCTTGTTTTTAGTGATGAAGATAGAATAAATACAGTAAGTCTGTTTGCGCTCCAACTACCGCGCCTGGCTCTAATTGCCATTTTCTTCTAATTAATTTAATTTGATTTTAATCTATTGAGCCATTATATATATTTTTGTTTTTAAATACAGTAAAGCTTTCTCGAGTATAATTGCTCCTTAATCGTATTACCGTTGCATTGAAGCATCTCTCAAAACTGAATTCTGTTTAACATGTCGTGGTATTAGCAAAAATTAACGTAAATCGGGATCATCGAGACTTTGTTGCAATACAATAAAATTGAAATATTACAAACAGTAATAAAGTTAGAATATTCGATTCTAGAAACTGTATTTCTTTTTTTTTGCACCAATAAAATGTTGTACATCTTAAAACTTAATATCTCATTATTCGAAATTCAATAATTTTCTATCTGCATTTATTAATAATTTATATTTATGAGAATATAAAATGTAAATTTTTGAGTAAAAAAAGTAATAAGTAAGATATACACAAACTATAATATATCTAAATTATCACACCAATTCCTTTTTCCATTTAAAAAAAATTTATAAATGTAATAATTTTATTAGGTATAGAAATATTATATATATGAAATCACTAACAAGATAAATGTAAAAATTCAGTAGAACAACGGTGTTAGAAAGGTGAAAATTAGAATGCCTGTTCAGTCTATTTTAACATCTTACATGAAATCAAGATAAATGTAAAAATTCGGTAAAACAACGGCGTTGGAAAGGTGATAATTAGAATGTCTGTTCAGCCTATTCTGACATCTTACCTCTTACTTATCTTTCACTAATATTTCGAGAAGCCTAATCCAATTTTACATACATAAAATTGGACGTTTCAATCTCACACGATTGAAGCTTATCAATCCGCGGACGGAAGTAGAAATCGCAGAGGCGAAGGCAACGCGTGAATACCTGTTGTCTTCGCTCGCGGGTCCGTTTCCGCGCGAAGAGGGGGCCAGACGGTGACGATCAGAGGGTGGGATACGCCTCGATCGCGGGGATCCTCGCCTTAACCGATCTTGGTCGATCTATCCCCACGATTGATTCCCACCACGCGATCGTGGTTTTGGCCTCGTTTACGTTCCTACGTCCGCGGGCGCGAATACCACCTCCGATGTGCCGGACGATCCACCACCAGAATCTTTCGGTGGCGCGGATGGCACCAAAGTTATAAAGTAGACCAGCTAAGCTGGTAAACGGCGCTGCCACTTTGTCGAGCGACCACGACGTGCCACGGTTCCCCCGGCTTTCGTGAAAGGAGAGGAGGATAAGCACTTTTCGGCGGACACCTCGCGCGGTGTCGTCCTCTGAAGCGCACGGTCGTCGTGCCATGTCATTCTAACGTAAACGTCGCGGGTGCGGTTAATCATCGATATTCCTGGAACGATATCCCGGAACGCCAATTTCGCTCCCGTTGTAGAAGAACAGGGATCCGAACACTTGACTTTAAGGTACTCTTAACTAAAGAACCGTGTATATCATAGGTAAGATAGTCTCTTCTCATCTTCGAGAAAAAAATCTCAAGTCTAAGTGACTCTTTGATAGAACTGGCAACTTTGCGATACGGCAAGAGTCTCTTCTTCATCGGGTTTTTAAAGGCGTTTTTTATCAGTACAGCGCGTATCATAAATACTTAAAAAAAATATATATTAAAATATATAAAGAATGAAAGATTTGAGAAAATTAATAAATTGTTTTTTAATAATTTAGAAAATAGAAAACTAGTTTATGTACTTAGTGTAATGGTCTCAGAATTAATTTTATTTTGCTTAAATGTGCTGAATAATATTGGTATAAATGGTTATCTTGTACCATGTAATAGTGCAATTTTAAAGTAATTATAAATACAATTATAAAAAAATATATATTAATTTTGAACAAGAATTTCTGCGCTTGAAGTATTAATTATTAATGGAATATTTATAATATAATTGCAAGTAATCGAAACAAGATTCTTTTTATTAAATTTGTATCACAAAATTGTCTATTACATCGTGCGATATAGCGGTTTTCGGGTAGGGTGATTTTCCTATCCCTAAAAGATTCAACATAGAAATATTTAGTACGATTAAAGCTTTTCTGTCGCCGAAGATCGAAAAACGGAATCGCGCGTGACGATAAAAAAAAAATAGACTTTGATGACGGATAATGACCTACTTATAATTCAAGGTACAATATCGCAATACGCCATTTGGAAATACGCGATTGTCAGCAAATTCACTTGTTGATTCGTGAAAATTTCAGATAAGCATACATTGATATACGATATCTAAATTCCGCTTAGAATGCGATCACGTAATTATGCAAACAATTGAAAGCAAATATGTCAGTATAACTATATCGGAAAATCTATATCTATGTTTGAGGTATATCTGTTATAATATCAAGTTTGCGTAGCTAAAAGCTTAAGCTTATTATTATACACGTTATTTTTGCGATATATATAAAATATATTAAAACATGTATACAAAAAACAAAAATTAAGCAAGAATTTTTGCACTTGGAATATTAATTAGTAATGGAATATTTATAATCTCTCTCTTTCTCTTTCTCTCTCTTTCTTTCTTTCTAAAAAGGGATTAAAGGAAAAAGCCTTTTTACAAACTTGTTACAAATTTATCGAATCATATATATATATATATATATATATGTGAATTTTACGTGATTATGTTAACTTAATTTCTGTCGTATTTTATTATTGTGTGCATGCTTCGCGGCGCGATCGCTTTCATTACGTGCGGGACGCAACTTAATGAAGAGCAGAATGCATTTTAATGCAAAATTCATAGATTTCTCTCATTTGCGCTTCTCTCTGTCCGTACCGCGTCATAACGAAAGCGTATTTCGTTTTTACACTGTCACGTATCATATGGTGCTCAATGGCCGTATTAGATTTTAAAGATGACATTAATCATAATTTACACTTAAACCGATCATATGAAATGATTAATCACGTTTTTTCGCTGCATATGACGCGAGCTCAATTTTATACAATGCTAATTACTTCCGTCTGAGATAATTATATGTCAACGTGATGATCTCTTTGTTTGAAAAAAATATATATGTAGCTTATTTATACATGCAAAGTCAATTGTTAATATAATTTTCTGAATCAATTCGCGACGATGAGCGACATGACAAACATGAATTATTAACGATTAATATGTATAATCAAATTCTCAAATTATTAATATGTATAATCAAATTCTAAATGTAAGAAAAATATAATTTTTTAAAAATAATTAACATTGCTAATTAATAACTAATGTTAGATAATTAAAATAGATAAATAAGGGGATGAGTTAAGTTGTTAGATAAGTAAAATTTTCTATTTATTGCTCTAATATTACAACATTTTAATATTTAATAGTTGATTCTAGAACCAAAGTTGTCCGATTTTCTTTTAGAAAAAATTTCAATTTAAAATGCGTATCACGATATACGTATGATATATGTACGTACACGACTGCATGTGATGCATTTGCTGACTGTGTGATATTATTATGATGATTATTGCTTAATGCGTGATAGGATATATGTTATAACCATCTGTTCTTGCGTGTGCCATAAAATCTGAAGTCCTAAAATTCCAGATATGTCCCCAAATTTTTCTCAGCGGGATCCCTTTTTATCCGCAGACTCACTCTACCTTAGGTGTGATATATTTTTGTGAAATATTTCATTTCTCTTTGAAGCGATAGATCCCCATCTTTGCAGTTGCAAAAGAATAAGATTTTGCTTGTCATTGTATGAATCGCGACATGAATCTTCGTTAACATAATAACTCGCGTTTGTGCCGAAAGTTCAATACGCGGAGTCGCTCCCTCAATGAAAGTAACTTTCCTCGATAGATATGTGTGTTAGTTGATGGATGATCGATTTGACAACAAGTCGCTTAAAGAAGAGAAGTGTTTATCGGGACATGTTTATAGCGACTCAGGGAGATAGTGGTAATAGTTTTCTTCGGAGCGTGAAAGTTATGTTCTACTATGCGAACGGCGAAATGAACGACCGGATAATGTGCATCGAGGAAATTGCTATTAAGGATTAATTACGCGCTAATAGACGCATATACGTATTGCAAGTTCCCTTTAATCAATCAACATTAATACGATACAAATATGTCACTGTTAAGTGTCTTATAATATTTTATTTAAATAGTTAAATATCTTATTGACACACCCGGAAAGAAAAAATTCATATATAATCAAATATAAATATATATAATTATATATAAAATATATTCATATATATGTTTTCTTTTTCTTGTATAAATTCTATCAATATATATAGGAAAAATAAGAAGAATAATTGAAAAATAATTAAATGATTAAAATCAAAATTTATTTATTATACTCATATTTAAAATGTCAATTATTCTCTCTCTCTCTCTCTCTTTACGAGACACACGTATTTCGTGAGCGCTCAATGTCGCTGATTTCGCTATGTCAATTAAAATTTACCTTGTTGGCGATAAAGTACTTGACGCCGTAAAACTAGTGGTTTCGCCGATGATGGTCTTGCTCCGATACCTTGCGCCTAAGCTTAAAGATGTGGTATTCGGTCAAGGTAGTACTGAAAGATGAAGTATACGACAATAGAAAGCGGCTATTCTATTAAAATTATTATTGGCCGCTGTTAACCTGCGGGGCGGCCTGACGCTTCTCGACACAGTGTATGATTAAAGCCGAGAATGTGACTCAACACGGCAGTTATCCCGCATTTGTAAGCCGTAAATGCAAGTTCATTCAAGGCGGTTACGGATTCGAGGGTGATGACAAATTCTTTTCGTGTTGTTGCAGGCGATGGCGAGCTTCATTAATTCGACAGCGCAACTCATTAGCGATGCATACGACTACTACCTCTGGACCCTGTCCCTCGCAGGTAATTTACGGAAATTGCTTTTTACGCTATTTGAATTGTAATATTCGTTTTTGTCTCTTTTCGCAACATCGTGCGCACGTAGGTGTATTTAATAAATTTACGTAATTTATTGATAAATTTATAAAAATAAAAAAAAGTTAATTTTTGATTATATATTATTGACACACTTATGTGTGTATTAATATATTTATATATATGTATTTATTTAATTATATTATATAAATCATAGCTGTAGTCTAATTTTATAAAAATTCTAAGTATAGAGATATTAGTTTAAATTTATAAAAAATAAATAAAAATAATTATATAAATATTTAAAAAATAAATTGTTATATATTTTAAATAAATATAAAAAAATGTCACAAAATCTTTATTGTAATTTGCTTTATAGACGAGAGGACGAGAGGTTGGTTATTGGTTGATTCACCGCAACCAACGTTAATATACACGCTGTTATACCTCCTCATTGTTTGGGCGGGTCCTAAGGTCATGAAGAAGCGGAAAGCTTTTAAATTAACCTGGGCGCTGGTGCCCTACAACCTTGCCATGGCCTTTCTCAATGCTTATATTGCCATTCAAGTGAGTATACCATTTCCTGCCTCGGGTAATGAGAAAATATCGCGGATCGTTTCATCTATTCCCATGTATCCGCTTTCACTTGGCGGAAAGTGCGCTTCCGTCGCTTCATCGATATCTCTTTGTTTCTTTTGCAGTTATTTGTAGGATCCACGAGATTACGATACAGTTATGTGTGTCAGCCAATAAGGCACGTTACGCGCCCTGGTGAACTTCAGGTAAGAGAAATTTCGGTGAAACAGAAAAAGAAAAATTTCTTTTCTACATTTTGACATTTCAAGCTGGCTTGAACAATTTTTTATTTAAAGTAGAAGTCCTGTCCTTTTCTTTTTTTTATTGAAATAAATTACGAGTTGATAGAAAAACTTTTAAGCCACGTGAGATCGCGAGAAGAAGCCATTAAAAAATACTGAAATATTGAAATGCTTTCTATATTCAGATTGCTCACGCGGTTTGGTGGTACTACTTTAGCAAGCTTCTGGAATTCTGCGACACGTTCTTCTTCATCTTGCGTAAGAAGGATAATCAGTTGAGCTTCCTCCACGTTTACCATCATTCCACCATGTTCTCATTGTGGTGGATCGGTATCAAATGGGTACCAAGCGGATCTAGTAAGTATTCGGCATATTTTTCTCTCCATTAATATTAATTTATTATAATAGTTTAATAATTTTTTGGTCGGTGACTTACTAAAAGCGGTCTAACAAACGTCGACCAGAATAATAATTATCAACGAGTAATGATGACTTACATCTTTTTCTTTTGAAAATTTAATTATATGATATTAGAATAAAAAAAGTCGCTTTGTTTACGCGTAATAGAAGAGAATCGATCATGTTCCTCTTATCATTCACGCGTGTCTGCAGCTTTTCTGCCAGCGATGGTAAACAGCTTCATCCACGTGCTGATGTACTCGTACTACGGGCTTGCCGCGTTGGGCCCCTCAGTGACCAAGTACCTTTGGTGGAAAAAGTACTTGACAATCCTCCAGCTCATCCAGTTTACGACCGCTTTAGTTCTGGGCATCAACGGCATTCGATCGGGATGCGACTTCCCTCTTTGGATGCAGTACGCACTCGTGATCTACATGCTCTCCTTCATCGTTCTGTTTGGGAACTTCTATGCCAAAGCTTACATCGCAAAGGTCAGTCTTGGACTTGATGGACTTCGGACATAACTGATGCGCACGAATATTATCGATTCATGACATTTGTTTGCAGGGTAAACAAGCGTACGCGGAGAAGCGACTGGAGAGGATAAAAGCCGCCAAGGAGAAATCTATGAACATGCAACTAACTGCTGACGCAACGTTCAGCAACGGAACAATCGCGAATGGACACGCGAACGGTTACACGAACGGGGTGACCAAGAGGAAGGCCCAGTGAACCTCCTTCTGAGAATCTCTCGAGAATCCGACGATACACGATGCTCGGGACACACAATAAGAAAAAATATAGTCACGGACATTAGTAATCTAGTAGTCGGCGAGGATCAGTATCAACGGTAGTTATAACGTACTTATAACGTAAGAAAAAAAAAGAAGGAAACAAAAAAAAATAAGTGAGAAAGAAAAACAGGGATTTTATTTTGTGTTCGCGAGGCAACGTGATCAGCAACGTGATTCCAAAGTTATCGACACGCGATTTCTCCTTCATCTCATTGTCAGCTCAATCAACTGTACATTCGCGACACAACGCTGATTTCTCAGCATGATTGTATATATTAAATGATACATACATGCCGGAGGCGCTCTAGAACCGGAGTACGTAGTGATTAGCGCGACAGGTCTCATACACATACTGAGGGAAGGCCTGAAACGCGACAGGGTTCTACGTAAATATCAAAATACGGTCAAAAGAAAACAATCTTCTTTTAAAATCAGAGTAAACAAGCTTAAGAAATCTTTCTCTACAATTAAGATTATTTAAAACAAATAGTAACGAGAAGAAAGATACCTATAGATAAGAAATAGATAAACAGATCGGAGGAAGGTCTAATTATCTGTAGATGAGCGGATGAAAAAAAAAAAAAATATTAACAGCGGAAAAACTTTTAATGGAAGGGTATCTCTTTCTTTCTCGTTTTGTTCGTTACGGGAAGATTCGAGTTGCATCTATTGTAAGAGAACAAAAGAGGCCCTTCTCGAAAGTTAACGCGCTCGATTTTCTGATACGTTTGCAATGAAATGTATGCGAAATATTAAGCATGCGTTGATTTTTTTTTAATTAAATTTCGCGAGCGACATCACGAACGAGTCTTGAATGCATAAACGTTTAAGAAACTTTAACAATAACGCGCGCCTATAACGTAATTAATTTTCAACTGATTGTGAGAGATGCACGAAAGTTCGACCTTTTTATTAAACAATTGAACACATTTGGATAAAGGATAGATTTCTTATTCGTTTCTAAACGATGTATATTTTTAAACAAAAACAATGTATCCATCGGTTAGACGCAGATTTTTATACGGACATTTTTCTACAACGAGTAATCCAGGTGTGTACATATGCAAATGACGCGTTTTTGTCGCAGTGAGAATTACGATAGCAGCAAGAAAATTGTACAATGGAAGAGAAACAGAAAGAAAATTTTGCAGAAAGCAGAGAAAATGTTTATATCATGACGTGTTTTCTCTTATTCGCGTAGAATCTGCTTTTCATCCACAGTGCGATTCATATTTTTATCCCAGGAATTTACAGATATAGAAACTCTTAGCCCTTGTATAAGTTACAAGATAATCATTTCGTGACAATAGTTTATTATTATTTGCGAATTGTGTGTTTTCTTTCAATATACATATTCCTCAATCTCTTTTAGCTAATTATATTATTGTTAATGTATTTTATCTAATTATTACACTCACATAATGTAATGGATGATGCAATTGTTATAAAAATGGCATTGCTGCGCAATGCTTAAACGGAAAAAAATGCATTATGTTAATGATTTACAATTCACGTTTATTTACGACCTTTCTATATAAAATTTTCCATTAATTAATATCTAACTTCTAATCATTAAATATTATGAAATAATTTTTCTTTGTATTTCTCATTGAATGAAATTATTTCTTTACATATATATAATTATATTTATTGTACACATAATATACAATATATAAAAAAACAAAATTTCCGCTAATTTAAAAAGCGAGCAGTATATCGTACTGGAATTAGAGAAATCGCGTTAGACACACGTGGCAAGTAAATGCAATTAGCTCTTTATGACATAATCTTTTATGACATAATGATAGACGTATAGTTATACGAAAAAATGAAGCATCAAGAAAATGATTAAACAGTTTTCGATATACGAATGAAATGAAATACATGTTTAATTCTATCGATCGTTTTTTTCTTATTTATTAATCCAATGTTATTTACACGACATTTATAAAATTTTATTAATAATAATTTACAAGGAAATAATTCACATGGGAAATACCATGTATAGATGACTTCACATTCGATCACAATATAAATATATTCGCATGGTAAAACTGTATAAAAAGTAACATACCTCCGATTTAATCGCCACTTAAATATGTTGTAGGGGAGGTTTTTCTGAGTAATTCCCCGTAAAAATAAGTGGGGGACGGCATTGGTTTAGGAGATATAACAAATTGAAGTTTCACAGTTTTAACATTGTATTTGTTATAGAGCAGACGAAAAAGTGTTCGTTTATATTTACGGGATAGGTACACGATCATGGGTATTTTGTCAATAATGTGTTTCACATATTCCCCGCAGTTTGTTAACAGCTGCGACTACATGAATTTCTGAATCATGTCGTCGCATGTTGAAAGCTTTTAACGAACTGCGAGAAATAGGTGAAACACATTATTGACAAAGTATCCATGAGTGTACACCTATCCCGTAAATGTAAACAAACAGTTTTTCCACGTCTGCTCTACATAAATACAACATAAACAAACTCCATTTTTCCTTATTTTATAATAGAAAAAGTATTAAAATTATGAAACTTTAATTTGTTATATCTCCTAAACTAATGCCGTCTCCTACAAATTTCTTGCGGGGAATTACTCAGAAGAATCTCCCCTACAACATATTTAAGTAGCAATAAAATCGGAAGTATGTTATCTTTATACAGTTTCACCATTCGCATATTTTATTATTAAAGATTTATTCTTATATATTAAAGAGGTTTTCTCCCTCGGATAGCAATATATGTAATTTATGATAAATAGAAACAATATTTGTTATTATTTTGTATTTTATTTTAAATTATTTATTAATATCAAATTAAATTATTTAAGATCATGAGAGAAAAATATAAAATAAATTTATCTAAAATAAAAAATAAAATTATTATTGTAGAAATAAGAGGAAATATTTACATCATACATGAAGAACAGAAAAATATTTAAGAGAAACATCTTTAAATTGACAATTTAATGTTATTAATTTAATTAATTCTTTCCATTAAATATTAAAAATAGATGTAATCTATTATATAATTGATTTAAAAAAAATCAAAACGTACTATTCAGTCATTTAATCATTAAAAACAAGAAGACGTATCAAAAGTAAGTTTTTTAATCTTTCAACGAGTTTTGTTTTCATTGTAACTATTATTTATAAAACATTTTAGTTAAAACCTTATTTACGTTGACGAAAGGAAAGGTAGCAATATCGTCGCGAAAATCAAGGATTAACGATTCCGTAAAATCGCTACGGCCAACCATATCGAGCAGGTCTTACCGACGTATCTTTTTATGTGGCAAACAAGAGCAAATTCGACGGGACCGGTAATATTATGGATTTTCGTGGCGGCTATCTGTTCCGTCAATTCGTCAAGGGTAGTTTGACGCAGGTTCAAGACAAAACCGTGCGTATGGTAGGCTCTGAACAATTGTTTCAAATCACGTTTGTCCAATTGGTATTTGACGTCGTTCGGAATATCGGAGATGAAGCCGCGCAAGACGCTCACCGCGTGACGATTAAATATCGTCGTCAAGCCGAGAGCGCTACGTAAACCCGACAATTTGTCTCGCAAATGTTGCTCCATTTGCAACGCGCTCTCCTTTATTTGTGCGTCTTCCTCGGCTGTGACGGCCAATTCCAGTGTCTGAACGGATCGATTACTGCTCGATGATGTAGCGACAGGCACGAGCGGCCGCCAATCCTTGCTGATCGCCACATTATACTTCAGGTTGTGAGGCAGAGTAGATCTCTGCGTGTTTTCCCATATCTGAAACGGAAAGAAACGATCGTAAAATAAGAGTATAAATAAAAAAATTATGAGAAAGGAGATAAATAAACGATGCTGAAAGAACATATGTGGGTAAGCTCTTGTCTCGTTATTTAGAGATCCATCTACATAATTGTTTTATACTAACGCCAGAGTAATTAATTAAGCGGGACACCTTCATCAAAGTACAACGGCTATCGCTTAATTTATAATGTTCTCCTATCTCGGTATCCCATAAAACAATGTCATTCTCCTTGGTGGTCAAAACATATGCGGTCCATTTACTTATCTGCGAAGAACCTGCAACATTCACAACCCTAAAACATTATGTTCATCTGTTCTGATGCATGTCAACAATATAAATATAATACCGTATATCTGCACTTTGGCTTATAATTGACTTATACATATTGTTGATAATTGCACGAAGAAAAGGAGTAGAAAGATTTTAATATAAATACAATAAATTTGATTTAATAAAATTATTAAAAAATATTAAAACATGCGATATCTCAAATTTTGATAACGTTGAATTAAAATTAAATGGAATAGAGAAATTATTACTTGTATCATCGATATTTAAATTATTGAATCCTGCTGCTTTACATATTTCATTAAGTTTATATACCTAACAGTACGTATGATTGCAAGCCGAAAGCCTGCAGCAACGTCGCTAGCAAAGCCGCTCTGCCATAGTGATCAACCTTATTCACGTTCAATGCCTGGCGTGGCGTGACCGGGCCGTAATGAATAGGCAACGACGACAAGAGCATGACGAGCCGGGCGGCATCGTCGGGGGTTTCTATGCCGGATATTTGATAAGGATGCGCCAAGCAACGTTGGACGCCCTTGGACAGAGTGTCGATAGCGTTAGCTTCCATAGAGTTTCCAGGTTGCTCGAGTCTCATCAGCACGTAGATCCTGGTATGCGATTGTCCCGGGCTGGCTTGCGCGTAACCGAACAGCAACGCCGGACTGAAAAGAGGTGACAGAGCGATCCAACGCTCGAGCTCCTGATAGTTTCTGTGACGCTCGAGCGGGACCCTCGCCTCACCCAGCCATTGCTGGCCCCAGACCGGGTGCTGATCATACAGGCGAAACTTAACGCAATGCTCGCCGGTCTGTCTGGGCAGTTCCAAGTGTACTGTTTCCTGCCATACAGGCGCGGGCCCATCTGCGACCGAAGTCGTGCGAACAACGTTGCCCCATTCCACTTCCAGCAGTGGAGAGACGAGCGCTGATTCTTCTCTCACTGGTACTTCCACCCCCCGCAGCACAGTAACGGCAAGGATCGTTCTTCCTATGGTGTGATGCCTGCTGTGATGAGCGCTCGATGACGGTCTGAGCGGTCGATTAGGGCGAAAGAGATTCTTGAAGGATACATCTAGCAGGGAGAACGCCGGTTGTTCAGTCACCACGATGTCTGGCGGTTTGGATTCCGGCGGAGACAACTTACGAGCCGTTACGCCGACATCTGAAACGAAGATCAAAGCCGGATCTTCCAGCAAAAAATACTCGACGTTTTTCTTGTTAACGGGGCGTCTCTTCTGCGGTCTCAATAGAGAGAGGCCGTTCTGCGGATCGTTCGGATCGTTGCTCGGTCTGTAAAGATAACACCCGCTGTCTTTTTTTGGCTCATCGCTAGAACCATATATAGAAAGAGAAATGGTACAAGCGACAATCCCAGCATGTATCCCGTGCAAACCGTCATTGATCGCGAAGTCTATGTCCACCTTGTGGTCCTTGACGTTGCAACGTTGGGGCAACGGTAACGGAAGCACGCTGGATTCACCGTGTCGCGTGTGCACTTGTATCGAGAGATCGTGGTACTCGGAATCTCTGATCAACAGCTTGTACAGCTTTCTGTTGAACGGACTGTTCGATTTGCATATCGGTCTCCCTCTGAACAAAATAGATACCGAGATGATCTCGATCGTCGTCGTGTCATCCGATTGATGTTCGCGCGGCGTGTGAATGCGAATCTCGCGTATCGCGATTTCCACGAGTTTTCCGCGAAATCGCGGTCGCGACTCGTAATCCAGTCGTTTGACGTCGTCGAGCTGATACGGTTTGATTATCTTGCTGGTAAAAGGATTCTCGGATACGTACAATCCATCCTCCGTTGCCGATGAATTTCCATTGTTCGACACTCGCAGAGTACCTCGATTTTTCGCGAGCACGTCGCTCGTTTTACAATCGTCATCGATCACCGGATACGCATAGCAAAGACCGAGATCTCGCTCGGTTTTATCTTCCGAACATTGAGTCGTTCCACTTATAAAGTCGATATGAGAGACAGACATGTCGATTATAATAGAATTTTATTCAGAAACATCTTTTCTATTTACATAATTTATTTGCAGTACAAAATTTTAAATTATTTAAGCTGTCATTTTTTAGTATGTATATTATGTAAAATTTATTAAATCTCTCGCTGTAAAGTTACAGAACTATATAATCTTCTGTTTTATAGACTCTCATTGTATGTTTTGTCTGTTTTGTTCACGGTATCACTAATCTCCATGGTGACAATTTCCATGGTAACAGGTAAGGAAAATATAAAACGTGAAACGGTTTGAGCCTTGTAACGGACAAGTGGTAAGCTAAAAGCTAAAAGATAAGTAACGACATCTTGTAAATGTGCGCCGAATGGAACAGAAGATATTAGAAAGAGCTGACATTATCAAAAGTTTTCGATTGTATGATTTATTTGTATGCAACTGATCAAAAAAATACATATCACATTGATTTAAAAACGTATTACTAATGAAAATGTATACTAATAAAAACAATAATACATTATTTTTATTACAATTAATGTGCATCATATGTGTTAACAAATTTAAATTTGAATAAATAAAAATTTAAAATATGTATTTTAATCTATATATTTTTATTCGTATAACACAAAATTATATGTAGAAAACTATACGCAAAAGAACTATAATGATAAAAATATACGTTATATAAGATATATAAATCACATAAAATGAGACAAATAAAAAGATATATAATAAAAAATTCATGAATTTTACGATGTTCAGCAAAAGTTTTACAAATTATATATTTACAGGAAAATCGTATTTAAAATTACTGCGTTATATTACAAATAGAAAGCAAATAATTTTGCGTCTGTATTCTTTAAAATTATAAACATCATTATGTCGTAAATTTTGTAGTAAATTATAAATCTTGTCAAAAAAAATCTTAAACAAATTTTATATCTTATTGGTGATTAGAAATAGGCAGATAACGATATTCTGTTGATAATATATCGACAAAAGGTAACGCTTATATGAGGTACAACATCGACAGCATTTTCGTGAGAAGTTAGGGTGTTATTCCTAGCCGGGACGCCATTAACAAAATTTCAGCTGCAAATCCATTTTAAATGTAGATATAGTGGAGTCCTGCTTTTAATTACAGATGGAAGTGAGGATAGCGCACATATAGCTAACGATCAACAAATATATATATTAAACGATGTATTTTCCTTTTTATATATAGCTCTTATATCTCTATAAAAAAGGCGAAAATATTTAAGAATTTCTGTGTTGTAGGTCCAGAACATTTACAGAAACAAAACACACATACACATGATTACATACATATACATTCATACGACATGTATACAAAGCTTGTTTTAGATACATTTGAAAGGGATATCGAATATTCTCGATTACGAAAAAATGAAAAGAAAAAAGCCCATTATATACAGATAATAGTGAAGATTGAGCGCGAGAGTAAATAATGCAAAAAAGATAAACACAAAGTGAATACTGTCCGACAAAATATTTTCCGCGTTACTACCGTTAAAAAATATGGCAAATATTTATAATAGTCCTTCGATAAAGCTTTCTTCGTTGGTCACTAAATTTTAATGAATTTAGGTCAATCAGAAACATAATTTGTGTATATATTTGTTTTTTTAATTGCATCATTGCTCTCCTTCATAAGCCTGTTCCAGTTTTTGTAGCGAATAAATTATTATAATATTTATTAGTAATAATTAGTACTAATTATTTATATGTATCCATTTGGATATTTTATTATACAGTTTATAATTAAAATACGTAATATATATTTATATTGTATAAAATATAAATTTACGGTAAAATGTTATCTGTATGTTTTCGTAAAATTTCCCAGAGAGGGATCTTGAAAAACCTGCCAAAATTTAAGATAATTATATATTAATAAATTTTCTTTTTATTACTTTTATACTCTTTTAACACAAAAAAGCACTAACTTTTTCAAATGCGATTATTATACATGGTATCCTCTTTCCTATCTTTCCAAAGGAATAATTGATCATGTTACACATTCTATTGTTTTTAAAATTTAATAAAATTTTTAAAATATAGAAATATAAATTAAATTTCAAAGCATAAAATATGTGAGTTAAATATTTATCATGTATATATATCAGTCTCTATTCGGAAAACGAGGTAAAAAATTCAACTCGCGTATACATACGTAAGGAATATACAAACAATCAACAATTTATATTTTTCGACAAATGACACGAGAAGGGCAGAAAATATCTCGGTAAGGATGCGCTGAAAGGATTTCTATAAATACGTGCGCGCAGAGAACCGACGTTTTATTATAGTTTTCATCAACAGATTAGCCCCTTTGGAACCATCGATACTCGAGAATCGAGATTCACAGACATTTTATGGCCCTCATAAAAGAATCTATTTGGTGTTTTCCGACTTGGGCCTACGGAGCCTGAAGCAAAAGTCGAACAAAGAGATGTATCCTCTGCAGCCAGGAATTTGGTATGTAAAAACTATTACGTCTTTGGGTCCAATTACGCACAGGTTGCCGACCGGGTTGTCCTTCCTTTTCCTTCGTTCAATCCTTAAAAAGCCTGACGCCGATATGTTCTTATCTTCTTTCATTTATGTCTTCTTCCCGTTAGTTTAACCGCCATATATCACGTGCGTTCTGCGAATATCGCAGACAGATTCTATTGTCTCTATTGTGCTTTTCGTCACATTTTGAAAAATATGACAAAGATCCATCTTTTTGCCATTCAACGACAAATGGTACTCTGAGTTCTGATGCGGCACAATGATGAACAGATGTACCACAAATGGACAAGGAGAGAGGGAGAGGAAGACTTGTATATAAAAATTTTTAATTTTGAATCTTCTACTTTTTAGCTGTTACTTTATATACATATATATATATACCTGTTTGTCTTAAACGTTCTAATTTTAAATTTGCGTAATAAATAAACTGAAACATGTATTCTAATAATATGTATTATAATTTAAAACATATGTCAAGGAGTACATAATATATAATTAATTTCTTTTTTATTTAAATGAATGATTTTGTTAAATGTCATATTAACACCTTTATCATCACGATAAATAAAAAGCGCGCGACTATACTTTAGGTAGAATTTATATTCAGTTTTGTTTATTATGTCGGTTTTTTCGAATGTGCGGCTTTTCTTTGTCGGCGCGATCATTGGATAAATTTAATCGGAATACCACTTTTTAGACGTAACTAAATATTAACTCTGTCGTCTCGATATTATGCTGCATGTATAATGCATAAAATGTATAACATTAAATCGCCGTCAAAATATTTCTTAGAAGACAACGAGTAGACACGTAAAAATCATATTTTTTGCGAATCTAGATTTTACCTAGAATAGTAATTATCTACAAATTTTAATTATCTAGAAATTTTACAAGACACAGTATGTGTGTGTAAATCTTTACATATTTATAATAATATATATTTTGCATTATCGTCTAGACATATGTGAACAAATGTCAATCGATGACTCTTTTATATCTCGCAATCTTTATTCGTGAAATAGATTCAAAGCGAATATGAAGGCACGGCGATGCGATCAAGTTCCGATATCGTCACTTTTTCATCGTTCGCGATGGCACTCTCTTTCGTTGAAACAATGATATATCGCCGATGGCGAATGACTATACCCTCGTATAATCGGCACCGCGGTAATAATTGGATCATAGATACGGTTATGCAGCAGGTCCATTAATTCTCCGCGGCGTTCATTTCTCACACCGTCGGGCTCGTTATATCGTCAGACTCATTCGAGATCTTGGCATCCGTAGATTTGTCAACAAAATTATTTTGGTAAAGATCGAGCACGAAATAAATATTTTATCATATAAATTTTTTCTAAAATGTATCTCTCTATCTGTGAATTAGAAAATTAATATAATAATCTTTTTTAACATTCTTGATAATTCTATTTAAAAAGAATATTTATTAGAAAATTAATTAAAATCATTGACTAATGCTCTTATATCATTTTTATTTAAAAAAAAAGACATATCTTTTTTATTTAAAAAAACTACATCAATTTTATTTAAAAAAAGAAACTGAAAAATTACTGATGTGTGCGTATTTAATTTTATATTTTTATTGAGAGAGATTTTTTTATCTCTCTTTAGTTACCAAAGCTTGACTTTTCCAACTATATCTAGCGTAAATCTAAACCATCGCAATCGCGAATAACCATTAAACGCTTGCGATAATCGTGTTTACGGAGCAAGCGAACTTTCGGGCGACGTCTCGCCATCGGGGAAGAAATCATCGACTCGGGTCGCATAACCGCGACAAAGTTGTTCCCGATTCGCCTCGACAGAACCCGAACTCTTGGTCGCGTCCAAGTGTCGAGAGGGGGTTGGTTTCACGAGACGGGGGGACGAGGTCGTGGGCTGGGGTCGGACATCGATCTGGTAGTTAACTTCAGTGCCCCCGCGGGACTCGTTGCCACCTTCGTCTGCGCTCGCGGTATGCGTGGAGATGGGGTACAGTCTCCTCGATCCGGGGGATCGGGGGAGGAGGGATGATTCGCGCGCTCGCATAAAGCGTTTTTACGTTTGCATTTACGCGCGATCTAATTCGATCTAATTCCCACTTGCGCCACGACACGATGCTATACTATTAGTATCGGCAGCGAGTTTTTCAATTAATTTGACATTCCCGAATACACTCGTTCACGTTTTAACGAGTGAAAATGACAAAGACGAAGCGAATTTCATAATTGAGAAATTTTAAGATGGGAGCAAAATTTGACGATTTTATGTCTGTTTCTCTTATTTGATAGACAACGGCTAGGAACAATGTAAAGCTGGTCCGTTTCCAGAGCCGAATCTGTTATTCGATAGACACGTGGGCTAGCTCAAAATACGGAAGACCAAGTCCATTGGTTATATCTGCTTATATCTGAACACGAGTTCTAGGAATGGGGCTGTTTCTGCTATTTAATGCATACTGCATGCTGCGAGCTATACGAAGAACACCATTGTGTTAACGCGCACATTGTTATATAACACCGTCAAACTTTTTGATTACACACGTTTAACCGTAAGTCAATTATTGTTGTTCGTAATCGCCATGTGTGTATTATCGTCAGCGTCGTCTCGACTCGATTTATCGACTCAATATTTATTTTTGACTATTATCTTGGTCCGAAATGTTGTCATAAAGAATCTTGAAAAACGGAAGGAATGTGGTCAACGGAAAAAAAATACAATTGATTCAAGGTTGAGAAACGGCTTATTTCATACAAAGAGATGCAAGTAAAACGGTATCGAAATGAAAAAAAGTGTAAGAAGAAATAACTATTCTTTTTTCTGATTTATTTTTGTTGAGCCAAAGATTCTTCGTGCAATGCATTTATGGTGCACGCAAACGAAATAAATGACATAGGTAATACACGTGATTCAATTTTCTAATATTTATTACTCTCAGTTCACGTTTCGTTGAATCGTTTTTGAGTCACGTTCTTGCATTTTTTTTTTCACATCTAAAATGCACCCCAATTTCTTTTTCTTTCAGTATCAAAAAATTACTGATAATATAGTTATCGTATATAATACAATAGAAATTTTTAAAATTTACTATTGGTCATTTTACAAGTTAATTAATGACCAAGCTCAAACCGCATTGATAGAAATATAAATAGTTTCAAAAGAAAATGATTTGTCAGTTTGTTTAAAATATCAAATTTGATGTTAGAGATCAAAAGTAGAAAAAACTAATATAATTTTAATGAGCCTGACTCTATATACTACTCATTAGATATGGATAAATCGACGTCAATCGTTGCAAGTCGATACAATGTACACAGTATCATTTATTAAAAGTTATATTTATTAAGATAACGGATCAATCGTTAGTTACTTTTTGTGTAGATGTTTATACGAACGGATTTAGGAATATACAAACGGATGTAGAGAGAAAATGAACTTTGTGCGTGGATGTTATTGTAACGTATTTAAGATATTTATTTCTTTCTAAGGCACATTTTTATATTAATCTTATATTTATATTTTCTATTATATGCATACTCAGATGTTGTAAAATTTAATATTTAACTGAATACACATATACGTTGATGTGTATTTATTAATTCAGACAAGTGTAGATACGGATGAATATAATATTATGTGGAATTTTAAAAGTATAGCAAAAGACACACATGATTTTGTCGACCTTTTTGTTGTTACACAAGGAAATAAAAAGATAGATAAAAATAAAGAGAAAGATTGTGCGGCAAATTAAATTCATGCGGATAATGTCGAGATAAAAAATCAATCGTAACGCGTTTTGAACGTTAACGAAATATAATAAAACAAAATAAAAGAGTGTATATTATGTTGTGGGTCTTTTATTTACTTACATTTAAAATATACATGTTTCCTAATGTATACGTCTTGCATTTTTAGGAGTTATATAGACGGCGCAATTTATAATGACTAGGGGTGCGCAAATATTCAAAAATTTCTGGTATCCAATGCGTTTGATCTTTTCCAACCAATTTGAGTTCGACTCAATTCCGACTAATTTTTTGATTGCAAATGCTTAATATATACACAATAATATATGTATATATAAATGTACATATATTTATATAAATCTTATTAAATTCAACAACTTTTATTAAATAATATGTGTCCGGCGAGGCTTCCTTAAAGCTTCTTTAAATTTTAGCCTTGTTGTACGATTACTGCTTGATTTCTGTACATTAGAACCAAAAAAAATCAAATATGTTTTAATTTTTGTGCATCTTTTCTTTGCATAATTATATAATGCAATGTGTTCAGAATGACAACTTCTAATCTCGTTATAAGCATTGCATCTGTATTAAATGATGCCTAGCACTTTAAGGATGCATCGCTGGATATGAGTTACTTGAAAAAATTGTTGCAAGAATTAATAAATTAACATTTTAGTAATATTAAATAAAATTTTACACAAACATCATGTGTACAATTTTATTTAATTTACGGTCAATATATAAATAATAATAATTATTTTATAATTAACCAATAAATAATTAAAGTTAATTTATGATCAATATAGAAATAACATATGAATAATACGTCGTAATCATACAGTGTATTTCTATCTCGTCTACGAGGTAAAATGCTCTTTTTGCAATCGAAGAATTATCTTTTATCACTATTTATTATCTATCACTTCGTGTTTCGGATAACTTTATTATTTTTGAATACTTACGCTACCCTTATACGCAATCGTACAAAACTTGCGAATATTACAGAGAAATAACAAGTAATATTCAGGTACGATATTATATATATTGCAATAATAGAGTATAATAGGCATGCGTGAAGGCATTCATGCAGTCTATTGTATGTATACATCCACTTTCAGTTGTTAGGATATCTTATAATTGTGGATAGAGTTTAGTGTAAAACATATACCAGATTAAGTTGGATGCGCCACAGCGCACTGGCACATATTCATTTGTTTTAATAAATATGAACAATAACAATCACTTAAAATATTAATTATCTTATTAATTAAGATATAATTATCATAATAATCTCTAATAATTTATCCTATTTATATACAGATTTTAAATATTTTCGCAAGTTAGATTTTAGTATGCATTGGAAACATGTTGTAAATTGTTGTAAAATTTTATTTGTTATGGTTAAATTTTAAATTTTGCTAATAGAAACGAGATGCGACTCACGTCAACAAGAATCGTCGTGGATACGTGGACGTCAAAAAAATTAATGAGATCAAATCGTTTATCTAGTTATAATCTCTACATATCTATCTTTATACATGTATCTATATTTCTATATTATTTACATCTATCAATCTATATGTATACATATATATATATGTATATATAAATCCACGAACGATTCGTTGATCTAAGTCGCTTATCACAGACCGATGGAGAATGTACTGATGGATACGAGCTGTTCCATTCGCTCATTCGATCACAAATTATTTTGACTTCACTTAAATAAAATTCGGTAATTCGAACAAAGCAATGGGCTATTTTATTTTCATCACCACCCCTTTTCCACCCATTATCTTTGCTCGGAGGAGTTACCATTTATTAGTCCATTCATCCTTCCGAGGATGATATAGCGTTCTTCTCGCTCGACACTCGACACTGTGGAATTAGATTGTATTACGGTGTGGAGTGCGGTGGATTGAGCACTGTATTCAAAGCTATTATTTCCGACGGTTGTAATGACGGATGCATAGACGCAGATAAAGATGCAGGTTGCGAAAGGGACGAGGGCTGCGATAAGGATTGCGGTAAGGGCTGCGAAGGTACGGGTTGCGAAGGTTGCGCGGATGATGTGGATGGTGATGCGGACATCCACACGGGCAACGATGACAGGTGAGGTGCTGCCTGCGATATAGGCATCGGCATGGCCATCGATGAAGAGGAGCCGCCGCCGTTGGCCTGCATCAGACCGCCCAGCATCCCTCCCATCTCTCCTCCGGCGTAACTCGCCATTCCGCCGGCCGTCGCATCCACAACGTTTGCGTTTGCGGCGGCGGCGACTACCTGCGCCGTTGTCTGCTGCCTCAACTGTTCCCTCGTCCGTTGTTCCTCTTGCTTCTTCACCTGCTTCCGCTCCTTCGCCCGTCGATTTTGGAACCAGATTTTCACCTAGAACATTCAGGCGGATCGTTTCGTTCGTTGATTGCATCTGATCGTCTCGTAATTTTGCCGTTATGATTATTTGAGAAATTCATAATTTTCATTTTTTTTAATTATTAAATTAAAAGTGCAATCTTTCTCATTCGGATAATATATGTATATTAATATTTTTTAAATTTATATTTTATATATTTAGATTTTTTAAATATATTTATATATATATTTATATGTTTATATATAT